CTCTGCATACAGACTTATTCAAAGTCTGGTCAAAAGATTCAGCTCTAATGAATTCTCTTTTCTAATTTTAAACCATGCAGTATCCTCTTGTTCTGTTTAAACAAATGACTAGCTTGTGGTCTTTGTACGGGGTAAGCACAATTGTGTTACGAATTCGCAATCTTTACAATCTTGTACATAATTTATTATGAGTCATATAGTGAAATACTTTTGCACAGTCAGTAAAACACAGGTAAACAGCTTTCTATCACTGGCTGCTTTCAGCAATCTGACATCAGCAATGATAACTTCCTTATTGTAGGCCCTTTTCTGAATCCAGCCTAATGTCTGGCAGTTTCCTATCTGTGTACTGGAACCATTTTTTGGGGAACCATTTTTATACTATCTTCAGTAAAACTTCACTTGTAATAATGCTATTGCTTTGCAATATGAGGAAAGGCCACCATAAGACAGGGCCATCTTGGATTTGCTGGTGACTGACAGTATACATAGTACCCCATAGCCCTGATTTTAAAAAAAATAAAGGGTAAGGAGGAAATAAGTATACATATTTGAAAAAATACTCTTGCCATTGCAAAATTGTGTCAGATAAGATACAAAGATCTTAGTAAAAAGAGAGAGAGCTTACAATTAACCTAACAATGTAAATTAACTCAAAAGTCACTGCCTCGGAGTCCAAGGCGTGGCTGCCCCTGTTCAGGCCCTGAATCTTCACAGGAGGGGCCTGCCTCAGCTCTCTCCCAGAGGCGCTTGTGGCTTCAAACTACCAACCTCTTGATCAGCAAACTAACACTTAACTGATGAGGTCACCAGACAGCCATCAATATATTTACTCCTAGTGTCTTTTAAACTTTGATTAGTGTAATGATTTTAGATGTTTTTAAAATGCTTTTGTATGCCTTTTGCAGAGGCTTCTACATGATGCAAACTGTTGGTATTCAATTCTTGACCAAAAGGGCGGTGGGACTATATGAAGAATGTAGAACCTGGATTATGAATCTTGCATTATGCAAGTGACACAAGCTTTGGATGCTGAAAGCAAAGATGACCTGAAGCACTTACTGAGGAAGATCAAAGATTATAGCTTTCAGTATAGATTATACCTCAACATCAAGAAAACAAAAATCCTAACAACTACATCTACAGGCAACACCATGACAAACAGGGAAAAAAACTTGTCTATGATTTAATTTCAAAATCAATGCACATGGTGCAGCTGTTAAGAAATCAAAAGACCAAAGTCTTTTGGCAAATTAGTTATCAAGGACCTCTTAAAGTGTAAAAAAGCAAGGATGCTTGACAAGGTGTATGTGACCCTTACCAAGGTATCTTCAACTGCTTCATAAGCATGTGAAAGCTGGATAATGAATAAGAAAGACCAAAGAATTATGGATGTCTCTGATGCATGGTATTGATGAAGAATCCAGAATATACCACATTAGTTATTTTAATGTTCTTAAAGGGTTGTCATAAGGAAAGAGACCACTTCAAAATAATCCTAAGGAGTATTGTAAATTTGTTTTCTTTTTTCAAAATCTTGGAATGGGGATAAGCATTTTTACATTAGACATAAATAAAACTCAGAAGTCTTAAGGAAAAAAGGCAGTACGTTTGAATATACAAAAGAAGACCTTTTAGTGACCAAGTTAAAAGTACATGTAGAAGTTTAACTACCATTTTTTAAAAGGCAAATTACAATGAAAAATATGTGTCTGGGCAAGAGCTTCAAAAGCCAGTAACGACTTGCTGTTCTTCCTTTGCCTGAACAATCATGGAAGAATGGAGACAGGGCCCCCGAACTAGGGCAAAGATCTAAATGCTAAGATTTACTTAACATGTAGTAAAGGTATACAGTTCGAATGATCTCAGATTTATTTGGCAATGGGTTGTTGGATAATATTTAGGAAATATGAGTAGCCAAAGGAAAAAAAAAAAACACACCACCACCTCAGATAAATGGAACTTCTTAAAATCTAAACACTATTATGCTTCAAAAAAAACACTATCAAGAAATACACATAAGTACTATGTTACTGAATGTGAGCACATGTAAAGGAAGAGATCACAGTTGTTACAGCTATCTGAAGGCTGATGGGAGGCACTGATCTCTTAAACGAGCCTTCACTCCTCGGTTTTTTTTTTAATTGTCAAGTGTTTTTAAAAGTGCTCCCAATGTCTTACTGAGGGTATTATTTTACTGTGTAAAGTAATTTCTATTTGTCTCTACTTAATATGAGTGATCTTTTGGCTCCAAATCACTCATATATCAAGGATTAAATGCTAAGAGGGCCTTCAAGCGTGTCAAATACTAGTAACACAGACCAGGGAAGATGAGAGTTGAAAGAGGAGCAATGGGTTTAGTAACAGTGCTGTCACTGACGATCCTCATCAGAACCGCTTTGACTATATCGAGGAGTAAAACTGTGACAAGAGTGGATTCAAGAGAAAATGGGGGGAAACTGACAAAGTAAATTTGTTATTGTGCTTAACTGCCACTAAGTTGACTATGACAGTGACCCTGTGTGAACAACGGATCTACTAAAACTTTCCCTATCCTGTCACATTCCAGCTAACAGGAAGTTCTCAGCCCTTTTTCACTTGAACATTTTCCTTATCAAATTAACTTCATAAAAATCTTTACTCAACAGTTAAGAATCAGTAACTATTTAAATATATGAAATCTGCCATTTTGAAGGAAGGAGAGGAGATGAGGACTTGGGACAACGGGAATAAAAAATTCTGTAGGATAATGTTATTGTTACGTGCTGAGTCACCTGTGATTCATAGCTACCCTATGTACAACAGCCCTAAACCCTGCTCTATCCTGGGCCAATCTCACTGTCTCCAACACACCTACCCTCATTACCCCAGTGACTGGATCAATCCATATCATTGAGGGTCTTCCTCCCCTGCGCTGTCCCTCCACTCTCCCAAGCATGATACCCCTCTCCAAGGACTGGTCCCTGTTTGCAACATGTCCAAAATATGTCAGACCAAGGTTCAGAATTCCTGACTCCATGGAGCAGCCTGGCTTCACCTTCTCCAGGATGAACTTGTTTGTTCTCCTAGCAGTCCATGATATATTCAATACTCCAACACCACAGCTCAAAGGCATCAATTCTCCTTCTATCATCCCTAGTCAAGGTCCAGCTTTAATAGAATATTAAAATACATTTACTAGTAAAATTCAACAAACAGGGTTCTAGTTATCTGCAGATACATTGAAGACTAAAGTTTTAAGAATTCTAGCACAACTGGAATCACCCAAGATTGTTGGTAGACATGCATAACAACACATACACGTGAGTCTAGACATCATCATTCAGAGACTCTGGGTTGGGGCCTCGATATTACTTTTAAAATGTCTATAGCGGTTTATAAAATTTAGAACCCTTTTAAGGGAGCTCTGGTGGCCTACTGGTAAGAAGCTGTACAGCAATCCCAAAGGTTTCCAGTTCAAATCCACCAGCTGCTCCACAGGACAAAGACTGGAAATCTTCACCTGTGTGACTTACTGCCTCTAAAAATGCCCTGGCGGGTCAGCTATGATCAGCTGTGACTTAACAGCACATAACAGTCTGCTATAAACTGGGTTGCATATCAACAATTCCATTTAAGTTAATACTCATTAGAGTATATCCCTTTAAAACATAAATAAAAAACTGTTGAGATCCCTTTAACAAATTCAACTGTAAAATCAATGTGAGTGGTCTCCTATTTTCTAATCTCAAATTACACTAAAGAAACAAACTTGACTAAGATATGTTCATTCTTTCTCTAAAGAATCTGGTTAATCTTTCATCACATTCAAGAAAACACTTATTCAGCACCTTCTGATTTGAATAAATTTAAGTTTCCAACTGAATAAAAATTTAAGGAGTTAAAAGAAAATATAGCATAGAAAGAACACATAAAATAAATATCACATAAATATATAGATATAATTTAGTATTACCAACCATGAGAAAAAGATAATCAATTGAGACAGATTTAAAACCAATTTTCTTCTTAACAATGCTAATTAAGCAGCAATGTTGCATTAATATTTAAGGGAGACAGAAAGAGATAGTTATATGCAATAGGATTCAATTTTCTCTTTGGGTAAATTATTCTAGGACTCACGTTTTAGACTCTGATGTCATGTAAAAAAAGAAAGAATTCTTTGCTAATTCTTCAGATATCTGGTGAAAGGAGATTAAATTTGCTAAGTTTTTCCTATAATAGTGAGGTAAATGTCTTCTCAAAATGTGTTTTTATTTGCAGAAATTATAAAGGGAAAGCCAGTCAGTAAAAGATTTACATTGAAGAAAAGATTTAAAGAAAGTATTATAAACATCTTTAAAAAAATTAAATGCAGATTATTATGAAGAGTTGTTATTTCTATTATTTAAAATTGAAGTTCTAGGATAATAAAATTCAAATTACAAATTAGTATGTACAGAAGACTCACCTATAATAAAGTGTAGCAGTTTCTCAGGGATAAAGCTCAGAGGGCAGACACAGGATAGAAAGATGAAGGGAAAGGAGAATCATAAAAATAAGGGAGAATAGTACTGTTACAATGTGGGGATTATAATTGATGCCGTAAAGCAACGTGTATGAATGGTTGAATGAAAGATCAATTTGCTCTGCAAATGCCCAAATTGCACTGCTGTTGTTGTTGACTGCATCAAACAGCGCACAAGACTCATAGTGACCCCGTGAACAAAAGGCTTGAAGCCTTTCTATAACTATCATCAGTTATCAAAGTTCATAAGCGTTTCCAGAGGCATGTTGTTTAGGAAGTGGATGCCACTCCTGCTTCCAAACTGCATTAAGAAGTTAAAAAATGGTTTATATGGATACTCTCAACTGTTCTCAAGATAACATTACTTGGGACTTTTTTTTTTTAAAATCACTAATAGCTGGAACAATGCTGCTCCCATTTCTGCTGTGAAATCAAATGCACACCAATGGTCTCAGCATGAAAAAACATCCCACTTTTGGAATAAATGATTTACCTTGTGTGTAGGCAGCGTCATCAGATCCCATACTCAATTTCCGTGCTTCACTTATTCTATCCACATGCGCTAACGTAGGGTCCGTGAGGTGCTGAATATTCTCTGGTTCTACATAATGATCAGGATGGTTTAGAAGGTTTGTAAGTTCAAAGGTAGGGGACACCACTCCTGGTGAAACCGCAGGGGGCTTGTTGGGAGAAACTGTAATTTTGAAAGTGTATTTTGTATTGGGCTGAGTGACCACCACACGAGGAGAAGTGGCAGAGTTACTGCCTATTGCTCGACTTTTGGGAGGGTGGTGATGAATAAAAGCAGGCCCCATGCTCACTTGTCCAGACATATTCCTGGAGGCAGCAGATGCTCCCGAGTTTGTGGATATGAAGAGTGTGGGCTGATTCCGCATGCCCTGCTCATCTCCTGTGGAGGCATTGGCGGAAATATAGACCTTGGGTTGACTACGGGCCATCACCTCATCAGTATTTGGTGGGCTGGCAGCTATGTAAACAGTTGGCTGGTTTCTATTTAAGGTCTGGCTGTTGACCGAAGAGGAACTGCTGGAGGTTCGAGGTCCCGAGGAACGTAATTTTGAAGAACTGTTTCTTTGTGGGGGTTCAAGTTTGATTTCAATCTGGTTTTTTCGAGGTCCTGTTGAAATATTGTGAATGTTGTATTGGCTGTGGGCAGAAGGCTGTGAGCTACCAGATGAGTGAATTGTTGGTGGTTGTGGCGTAGTGGGGGAGCCGATGGGCATGTAGACATGAGAGGTCTGGTGGCCTTGCTGATTTGGCTGCTGGGCTGAGGTATGTGACAGAGGAGTAGATGTAGGGTAAGTAGTCCAGGGACCAGGTTGTGAAGATTGATAGATTTGTTGAGGGTTCATTGGATTAAATTGAGATACCCAGCCAGAATGCTGTTGTGTCGGTCGAGCTGTACCACCAGGAGTTGTAATGTAAGGCCTAATATAGATAGAATTTCCCTGTGGACTATTAAGTACAGGTGGAGGTACACCATGTATGTGCAAAGATGTAGGAGTATTACGACCAGTCTGGATATTTGGGGCTAGAGTTACCATAATGGGATTAAATCTGGGAGTTTGTTGAGAAAGATTAGATGTTCCTTTGCTGCCTAAGTGAAATCCAAGATGTGGTGTTGAATTTGAAGCACCAGATGCACTGGACATTCCAAAAACATTAAAGCCTTGGGGAACTTGCGCTGGTGCCGTCTGTGGCTCCTGCTGAAACAGTTCATTACTGGACTGACCACCTTGAAGTTGTCCATCACTGATGCTGTGCGTTAGAGTCCTACTTCCATTCATTCTATTTCCCTCTCTTCCATGGTGGTAGACATTCTGTGACTGTAAGTCCAGGTTGAGAGACGTCATGTGATTGCGCAGACCAGAAATTCCAGAATCATCCGAGAAATTCAAGTCTCCTTCACCATAAAGATAGCGTGTACTCTCCTGAGAGAGAACTGCACAGCAGGCATCCAGGTTATTATTATTCTAGAAAACAAAATCAGAAGAGCTGCAAGTTAACCACCAGGAGCTAATGGGTACGCTGCTATCACTACTGAAATATTCTTTGATTAACAAGGGATGGTTAATACAAGGAAAACAGATGCAGCTAATAGTGGGCACAGTTCAACAGTGATTAATTTTACAAAACACAATGAACAAATATGATTGTATAAAACAATATAAATGAAGGATAGTGTGAGAAGCAATGTATATGAGTTTTGTATACACACCAATATAAAATAAATATTAAAACAAACAAATCAACCCTAAATGTAGCAAAGTAGTTTTATTTTACAAGAACTGTTTTCATGCAAATTGTTCAACTGGGAAAAATCCTCAAGTAACTGAAAAGCTCTCTGACTAGTAATAACAGAAAGTAAAACAAATCACCATTCTGTTTTAGAAGCTATTTTCAAGTAAAACAGATTCATGAACTACAGTAAAATTATAACCTAACTGAAAATGTAATCTGACTAGAAAAGCTTTTTAATAAAATTAATGTATTATTTAAAATAGCTGATAGGGAGCTGTGCTGTCAACCCCACGACATAGGATTCATATCTACCAACTGCTTCTTGGGAGAAAAATGGGCAATTCCCTCCTATGGAATTTACAGCACCTGAAAACACACTAGACGCTCAGCTTTATGTCATATCAGACTTGCTGGAACCGAGTTTTTATTTAAATTATTTAAAACTACAATTCTTGGGGGGGGGGACTGTATACTAATGAACATTTTTTCTTTTACTTTTCATAGAGAGGAGTGAACTGGGGCAGGGGGGCAGGCAGAAAAGTGCAACAATGAATGAATGGAAATCCAAAATCTCTGTAAATGTTCATTACAATTTAATAATTTAAAAAACCCCAACAAAACAAAAACTAAAATTCTTACCAATTCTTCAATGCCTCTTCTTGTGTTTGAAAAAATACATACACATACATGTGTGTATGTAATATACACTTAGTAGTAGACTCCAGAATAATTCAGTTCACATTTCTACCTTTTAATAATAAAACCAAACTCAATGTCATTGAAACAATTCTTCCTCACAGCAACCCTCACCTCCACCAGGGTTCCAAAGCTAGAAATGCTTACTGGAGAAAACTGATCACCTTTCTTCCATGGAGCAGCTAATGTGCTACACTAGCAGGACTTCCTCTGTCTCTAGAGAACACCACACAAATCTTCTCTGAAGAAATGAAAACTCAAACTGTTTCTCAGGAAAGTCACAGTAGAGACTGCTAATCACTAGTCACAGATCATAAAAATATTACTAAGCAGCCATAAGGGCCAGCAATCTAATAAAATCCACAAAAGACTCAACAGCACAAAGCTTAACTCTTCCCCCCAAATCTTGACATTATACTAGGGAGACAAACTATGCCTTCTTGAGAAGGTAGCACTGCTATAACATGAGTATGTGCCAAATAAAAAAATGGCAGAGTTTATTAAGAGGGTGTTTAATCTTTTAGGTCACTGTTTACTTTAGAAAGGAGTGGGTGATTGAGGGGCCTGGCCTGCCAGGCGTTACACAGTGTTTAAGAGGTGAATACGAAGGAAAGAACCCAACAAACGAAATAAAAAAAACCAAAGAACTCTTGGTGCGGGGAAGGCACAAGTTAACGGTACAAAGGAGAAAGCATAGGCCTGACCATCAATGTAAATGTTTCATGTTATGTATTTTTCCTTAACTTACTTATAACTCTTGAGTTAACCTATGTCCTAGTTTTTTATATTATGTTTAAAGATCGATCACCATCTTTTTTACCTCCTCACTGCTGTTGTTAGGAACCATCCAGTAAATCACGTAATCATGTCTCATAATGATCCTATGAAGATTTGAACCCTGTCCGACCCTGTGCAATCCCTGGCCATCCATGGCATGTCTGGGCCCATTGCCGCAGACACTGTAGGGAGGCCTTATATTCTGTCAAACCTAAACGGTGCTTTTTGCTACCAGCTACATGTATTTCTTTATTGTTAGGTGCGGTTGAGTTGACTGTGTCCCACAGCACCCCTATGAACAGTCGACAGGAATTCTGCCTCAACTTGTTCCATCCTCTCCATCTGATACACTCAAGCCCTCCCTTACAGTTCCTAGTTCTTCTCTCCTCCTCAGACGCAGAGTAACTCCATCTTCCTCTCATCCTGCTGCTGAAAAGCCAATTAAAATGTACATTCCCTACTAAAATTCCACAATTCCTTTTTAAAAGTGTAGTCATAACTCAGAAAAATGTTATCATCTCCTAACTGCTGTGCAACAATGCAACATTAAAATGCATATTCTCAAACTTCCTTGTTAAAAGTGTGCTCATATATAGAGAGTCTTTCTCTAAGCCTCTTGTGCATCACCCAAGGAAGAGAGGGTCTGCCTGTCTCTTTGTGATCTGGATTCAGGTGTTCTTGGCTTCATCCATCTAATGATGCTGGTGCCACACCATTCTGGAGAATCCTAGAGTGGTTCCTGTGTACCTGTGACATGAACACCGTAGTTTTTCTACAGCTTCCTTGTTTCCTGATAATGACAAGGTTCTGAAGTTCATCTTGTACATTCTCAGTAACTTAGGTCTGATATTTCTCAGAGCCCTGGTTCTTTTTAGTGGGAATCTATTATAAAAACTTCTTTTAAAAGTATGTGTGCGGTAAATTTTTAAGTTAGGGATTTGTTTTTCCCATATAACCACCAAACTGGATTCCCTTCAAAGCTACAAAAGTCTGTATCACTATTTCCATTTAGAGCTACTATGACAGTACACCCTACACCCACCCCTCCCTGATGCAATTCACTCCTTCAACCATCATTTACTCATTAGCTAAGTAGCAATGAATACAATCCCTGCTTTCAGAGATCTTAGTCTCCAAATTAAACAGATTGGTAAGGGTCTTCTTGTTGTTCATTGCTGTCAAGTCAATTTTAATTCCTGATGACCTCTTATGTGCAGAGCAGAACTCTTCCATTAGCAGATGATGTTCTGAAAGCAGGTCATCAAGCTTGCTGGGGCTCTACACAGATTTGAAATGCTAACCTTTGTGGCTGTTATTTGAGCACTTAAATGTCTGTGCTACTCAAGGCCTCCTTGGTATCATCACAGAAGCAGGTTTAAGGACTATGGGCGAAGGTCAACTGCAAATGTAGCAACTAAAGTGATGGCACTTAATTACTTGGCTTCAAAAATACCAAGTGAACAATACTTAGCACAGTATTCTGAAAAGAGCTCTGGTGGCCTAGTGGGTAAGTTGTTGTGCTGTTAAGCCATGGGCAGGTGGTTCGAACCCACTAGCTTCTCAGAGGGAGAAATGGGCAATCTCGTTTCTGTGATTTAGAGCCCGTGAAAACTGGCTAGGTCAACTTGGTTCTAATTTGACAGCAATGAGCATTTTTATTCTGAAGAAATACATAAAGTAGCAAATTTTAAATGTATAGGTTCAATCATGTTTTAAAAACGGAAATATGAGCACAATAAAATTCAATAGAAAAATTAATAAAATAAAAAAAAAACCCTAGGAAGCGCTGGTGGCCTAGTGGCAAGAAGCTGTACTGCAATCGCAGAAGTACACAGTTCGAATCCACCAGATGCTCTGCTGGAGAAGGAGGGACAATCTCCTCCTGTACCAGTCAGATCCGATTTGACAGTCCACTCACAAAAAATAATAAATTTAAAAAACGATGACAAAGAACTTAAAAAAAAATCTTGGGGGAGCTCTGGTGGCCTAGTGGCAAGGAGCTGCAACTACAATCCCAGAGGCGCATGGTTCGAATCCACCAGATGCTCTGCCGGGGAAGGAGGGACAATCTCCTCCTGTACCAGTCAGATCTGATTTGACAGTACACTCACACACACACACAAAAAAAAAACCCTTAAAAAATTCAATAGAAAAATAAAATACATCTTCACACTGTCTTAAGGTTTAATTACAAATATAAAAATTAATTTTGAGGGTACATATTCTATCTGCTGCTGGCTCTCCTGGTATAGGGAGTTGTGTCACTGACCCAAAGGTTCAAATCCACCAGGAGCTCTGCAGGAGAAGACGACAATCTACTCTTGTGTTTAACTTTCAGCCTCAGAAACCTGCTGAGGGTCAGCTGGGAGTCATTCTGACACAACGAAGAGACAGAGAACATGAAGGATCTACGCAGTAACAGTCAAGACGGCAACAAGAGAAGACGAGTCCTCTGCTCTCCAAAGCAGCATGCTGTTTAAGAAGGACAAACAGATGGAGAAATGGCAATGCAGCATCACAATCTCATCAAATTGTGGATATCATTGTTTTTACATCTAGAAAAAGTTATGAACCAATACACCATAGGGAGCATCTTTTAAGAGAAAGGACAGAAATCCACTCAACTGTTCCTAAAAGTCAGTTTGTTATCAAATATTTGTTGTTGTTGTTATGTGCCGTCGAGTCGTTTTCGACTCATAGTGACCCTATGCACAACAGCCCTAAACCTCGCTCTATCCTGCGCCAACCGCACTGCCTCTGACACACCCATCCCGATTACCCCAGTCACCAAATCAATCCATCTCATAGGTTACCAAATAAGCACATGTTTATATTACAATCAGAGCTCAATCTACCTTTATAAGAAACACTGTTCTGTTGGTGATGGAAAATCTGGCAATGGACATAATGGATATTCATGATTTATACAGAACATTACTGATATAATGTTGTCACTGATTGCATGCATCGAAGATAATTGGACAATACTGTCCAAAAGGGATGACAATCATCCCTATTTCTTACAACAATGAAAATATATCTATTTCTGCTAGTTTTCTATTCCTTCTAGGTGCATTCCTACAAGAGCCCTTTCCAGTCCTTTGTCTTATTTCTTGTTATGACAGCTAAAAATCTCATCACCAAAGTGTCCAAATGATTATGAATTCACTTTAAAAGGCTATGATCTGTCTCACAGGATAATACGCAAATAAATAATTCATTTCTTCAAGCATACCACAAAAGGTTTGTTTTGGGAAAATCAGATTAGCACGGTTAAGGTACACGGATCTATTTTCTATTTTTTTGCAAAACTGTGAAACTTGCCTAATTATTTTATGAATAAGTAATTAATCTACACAGCTCAAAACAATATAAAAAAATATGCTGAAAAGTTTTACTTCTTATTGTCCCCCATCCACTTGGTTCCCTCTTGCCTACTATCTTCACCAATTTTTAATCCTTGCAGTATTTTCCTTATGTAAATGAGGATAGATAGATATGTCTCTACTTATTCCTATATACCTCCTGAATGTTTGTCCCAAATCTTATTTCCTTAATATATCCTGAAAATTATGTATACTGTGAAAGAAAGAATGTAGAGTTGGCTCTGTTTTTTAAAAAAATACCAACAAACCAACTAACCTCCATTTTCAGTAATTCTATAAAATTTTAGGTTTTACACTCCGTTGAGATACTCAGATTTCTGCAGCACAGCTGAAAAGATAGTGTTGACAGTTCTTTCACCATCAAATCCTATCAAGTTTTATTAAAGAATCCACAGCACTTTATCAGTTTCTCAATGACTCGAGATAACAATCTGAGCATGTTGTTAGGTGCTGTTGAACTGATGACTCTTGGCAGCCCTATGAACAACAGATCGGAACCTGCCCTATCCTGTGTGTCTTCATGATCTCCACCATGCTTCAGCCCACTGTTAACAATCACTGTGTCAATCTCTCTTGTTGGGGGTCTTCCTCTCTTTCACTGACCCTCCACTTTTCCCAGCATGATGCCTATTTTTAGAACTAGTTCCTTCTAACAACATGCCTAAAGTATGTGAGATGAAGTGGTATTATTCTTGCCTCTAAGTGGGACCATAGTTGCACTTGCTGCAAGACAGACTTGTTTATTCTTTTGGCAGTCTGTGGTAGATTAAATACTCTTCACTAACATCACAATTCAAAGGCATCAATTCTTCTCTGATCTTCCTCAATGACAACCCAACTGTGGCTTACAAACTAGGCAACTGAAAAGACCATGGGTTAGGTCAGGCAAACCTTAAGTCCTCCTTAAGCTACCAGCCTTGGTCTTTAGCACTTTAAAAGGGTCCTTGACCACAGATTTGCCTGAGACAATTACTTTTACCCAAAAGTTCTTTTTTGAAAAATCATGGAGAGGTATTTGTGTTTTATAGGGAAGGTGATCTTTCCTCCACAATCTGTTGCTTCCCCAGATTTGACTTCTGACTTTATTTTTATTTTTTCTACACTTTTCATGTTCTTCTCTCACATTCTATATTGACAAATGTGAACTACTGATTCACTCATCAATAATTATTATAGAACTTTTATTACTAACACTGATACTAGTATACTTCTGAAAATTAATTACTGAGTACTCATCATGAACCAGGTATCTATCTTACCAGATGTTTTATGTGCATTATCATATTTAATTCTCTGTAATGTCTTCCCCCTCCCTTATAGTATCTTTGGACAGCTGAGGAAAAAGGAAGGTCAGATGCAATTAAATTATTGCTAATAACTATCAAAACTTGAACTTATTTTTGTTCATTATTAAAGCAAATGCTCTTGACCATTGTACTACAGAACTAGCAAGGCATGTGTGGAGAATGCCAAGCAGTTCCGGACGACTAAGTAGAGGAGGGCCTGGGCAAAAGATCAGCTAGAATGCCTCAGGATGCCAGGTCACTGTCCTAGGCAAGACATATGGACACTATTGTGAAGGGTATGGAGACATAAAATTAGTCTTGAGCAAGACATTTTGCCAGAAGTGAGGAGGATGAACTCAACAGGCCCAAACTTGGTTAAAGGCAAGCAGACCAATTAAAGTACAGATGAGGGTATTAAGAGTATGAACAAAATGTAATCAGTCACTTAGATACTGTGTCTCCTGGAAATTTCATAGAACTACAAACTTCAAAAATCATTTGTCAAGAGCACTGTATTTTTAGGCAATTAACATGTGGGTTTTGTTTGTCTGCCAACTCCCTCCCCTTAATCCAGATATTTTTAAAGTATGCTATGCCAACTGTTCCCCCTCCCCCCTTTTCATGTTGCTGCAATAAATTAGCATAATGCACTTAAGAAAAAACAGTTTGTTTGAGGAAGAGGGTACACTGGCACACAGGCTCTTGAACACTATGCTATATAACTAGCCAGGCATTATTTGTCTAAAAATACAATAAGCATATCTAAGTTGAAGTATTTTTCTATAAATCTATTTAAAAATATAAACAAAGCTCAAACTCACTGACTTAAGAGTAGGTTCTAACACAGAGTCACCCTTGGTTGGTTTTACAAGGCTGTAAACTGTACCTGGGAGAGACTGTCCACCTCGTCTGTGGAGTCACTGGTGGACCTAAACCGCCTCGTGCGCAGTCCTTCTGTCAGCAATGCACATATACCCTCAGAGCAACTCAGCTCTATTGTTTTGCTTAGAAAAATATCTACTTCATGAGCTAGGAAGACACAACTATCACTATTTAGAACCAAATCAATTATGGGGTTCTTAAAGTCTTATCTATTCAAGAGAAATGTAAAAAATGTATTACCAGCTTAGTAATTATATTGGAAAACTTATGAACTAGGTAAAAATATTTTTCCTTTAGAAATCGGCTCTTTGGTACTGTTCTGTCAAACACCTTCATTTTCTAGATTAGAAAACCAAAGTATAAAGAGGGCATGTAACTGGCCAACACTATCTGAAGTGTACATTTAGATCCAAGTTTCCTGGTTCATTATATAATACTTTTTTTTCACTTTCATATGAAAATTTGGAATTTAAAAAAGCTCTCTAAACAAAATAGGCAGGAGAGAACTGAAGCGAGTGCTTATAGCTCCTAAGTGCGGACCATAATAAAAATGTCTTACATTTCGATCTCTTTAAATCCTCATACCTACTCTCTGAAGGGAGCTCTAGTGGCCTAGTGATAAGAAGGTTCACTAAAAACCCAAAGGCACATGGTTTGAATTCAATAGCTGCTCTGTGGGAGAAGAATGGACAGTCTCCTCCCATGCGATTTACTGCCTGTGAAAATCTGCTGGAGGGTCAGGTATGGGTTGGTTCCAACTGATAGCAAATAACAACTCTTCTCAAACCAACAAACAAAACCCAACAACTCTTCTCATAGAATATTAGTCAGAAAGTTTAGATGGAGCATTGAGAGCTTGACTGGGTCAAGTCTGCAGTTAGGAAGCTCTATACATTACTGAGTAATGATGTCAAGTTTCAGGACTAAGGTGTGTCTGATTCAAGCCATAGTACTTCTGATTACTTGCTAATGCATTTGAGAGCTGGACAATGAATAAGGATAAGCGAAGATGAATTGATGCCTTTGAACTGTGGTGTTGGAGAGGACTACTGAATATCCCATGGATGGCCCAAAGAACAAGTATGTTTTGGAGAGGTGCAGACAAGAGTACTCTTTGGAGGCAAGGATGATCATACTTTGGGCATGTTGCCAAGGAGGGGCTATTCCTTGGAGAGGGACATGATGAACGGAAGAAAAGAGTGTTCGTGAAGGAGAGGAGGACCCTTGGCAAGGTGGAGTGACACGTAATTGGCTCTACTGTGTCAGGAAGTATGAGGATGGCACAGGACAGCAAAGGTTTCAGATATGTTGTTCATAGGGTTACTATGGTTCGTACTCAATTTGATGGCACCTAACAAGAACAATAACAACAATTGACAGCATGAATAATTCGCCAAAGGCCAACTTACTGCTATTGTTCTATAGCATACTAATTCCAACAAAAAAGAACTTAAAAAGAGAGTTATTCCAAATAAATACAGATTTGTATTAACACATTCTGAAATCAGTGACCACTAACCTGTAGCATGCACCTGGATACAACAACTTCAGGGACTTCAGGGAATTTTTGTCGCAGGTCATGTAAAACCTGAAAATCAATTTGGTGGCTTCCTTGGGCCATTCGTATACTGCCTGATCAGGACTACTGTACAGTAGGCAATTCTAGGCCTTAGTGGAAACAGTACTCATTTCTTCAGTCCAAGCATTTTCTGTGAAAGGAAAAAAAAAAATGTAATAAGAACTGATTATAGATCAATATTGCTGTGGAGTCAAAGTTTTGATACAAAAGGTATATGACTTAGCATCTAACATTTAATAGAAATGACAAGCATATTTTAGCCTTTAATGCCTCCCACATAGTTATACTGTCTTTCCAGTGTGTAACCCCTGATGGCAAACCTTACACTCCCTACTTCCCAGATGCTGGCACGTATCAGTAATGGCTATGTCAAAGGCATTGAAATTCTCCATTACTGACCAAGCTTTCTTACATCATGCTTTTCAAAAAGGGTGAATGCTTATATTTATTTTTTAAATGATTAAAGGACAACCTTAGGTCAGTAACTCCAAGATCTTAGTTTGAATCTTGAAAACGTGTGCTTCTACATATTAGCTTGCTTTGTCTAAAACTTAATGAAGCATGAACCAATAATTTGTTTTGCCTTTAACTTTCAAACATTTTACATCTTTGAATGTGCAAGAAATTAACTTTCAGCTGCTCAGTAGTGACTTTTATTTTCTCTATTTCTATTGAACTTTTAAAATATTTTAAATTAGTATTTAAAAAATTCTAAAAAAAAAAAAATTAAAAAAGAAATACTAATGCTTGGTTCCCAGCCTAAGAGAGTCAGTTTGTAGAGTGGTCTGAGTATGTGGCTTTTTAAAAGCTCCCCAGGTAATCTTTATGTGGGACCAAAGTTGAGAACAACTGCCTTCTTTTTATTTCTAATGATCCTAAAGTAAACCAGGTTTAACCTTAAAAGTCTCTTTGGGACCTAAGTAAGAAAAATATATTTAAGATAAATAATATACTAAAAATATTTAAAATCAATGCCATCTGATTAATAATTAAAATACATTTCACATTAGGATTACAATTATTTTTAAAGTGCATTTCTTAGGTGGAATATTTATCTTCTTAACATATGCTTAAAGTAGGAAAACCATAATCACATCTTCATGAATACAGAAATGAGGTCTCACTTGTTCCATCATTGTGTATTTAGCACCGTGTAGAAGGTATTCAGCATAAAAGCATGTATTCAAGTATTTAACTTAGGATAAATCTCCTGAGTCCTCAACCACATATTTCGGTATTAGGTATATTTTATTTTCGGTAAATAACATGGCCATGTAAATAAAGCGCACACAAAAATCAACATGCATAAGAAACTACTGTGTGAAAGGGTGATGCTGATAAAAAAAGCCCATAATGCATGCATTCATTACCTGTGTAAAATGACTGTGACCAACTCTACCAAAATGTATCAATTAGATACACTTTTTTCCTCTATGTGACCTCAGCTTAGTTCTAAGTCATAGATTTAAAAACTGCCGCCAAACTAAGTTGTCCGTGTTATAAATGTCCCAAACCTCTTTATTTCTATGTCTCATGTACACATACAACTCTTTCAAACTCCTAATTTTAACACTCAATGAAAAGACAAAATATTGGGAATTAAACAATACTAAAAAATACTTCAAGAACGATAAATATGCTCTACTACTCCTCCAAACTCCTCCCTTAACTCGACAGACCTTTCCAGCCACAGCCTAGTCCTTGAACCTCTCCCTTGAACTGTTGACTACAAAATCCAACTGCCTACTTGACATCTACTTTTGGTGTCTAAAACGAATTTCAAACGTAAGATGATAGAAACTGGAACTTTAAAGTCCCTTCTCTTTTCATCATCTTTTCTATCTCAGTAAGTGGTATCCTTATTAGTCCAGGTGCTGCTTCTCTCCTATCCCATAGCTAATCCACTGCCATCCTTAAACTTCCCGAAGGGGAAAACACAGGAGATAATATCAGACAAGTAAGGCAGTGAATGACTGTGATCCACCTTAAGGAAATAATTCAACGCAAGCTTAAAATACATGCAAAACTAAGTCCAATACCTAACTATCTAGTAGCAGAAACCCAGAAACCACTACAAGAATGCTCAACTTTTGGTGAGCTACTCTGAAACTGATTAACATCTGAATACTAAGGAGACAGGAAGGCCTTGGAAAACCTCAAACAGCACACAGAAAAACGGTCACATAATTTTAGACCGTGGAATATGCAGCATCACTGACATTATTTTCACTGTGGTAAAAAAAATTGGAATAGTAAACAAAATAGGATGAATATAAGGAATCATAGTAGCTCAGCCTTATTAAAAAAAAGGGGGGGGGAAGAGTTCTTAACGAGTGTCCAAATGTTTGGTAAGTGTAAAGGAAACAGTTAATACTAGCAATGGTAGCAATATTTCTATAGATTTCAGGTTGGTATCTATCAAAATCTAAATTAATGTTTTTTAACTCCCAAAATTTACTATATATAGCACTATAGTTACAAAGCAACGACAACTATCTTGTAATCAGTTAGTGGTGGTGGTTGTTATGTACCACTGAGTCAGAATCAACTCCCGGCTGACACTCGAGTGGGTTTTTCAGAGGCAGTATGGGTGACTGCCCATTCTTCTCCCCCTTGTGCATTCAGGACGGCAGTGCAACTCTTCACTGCTAGGCCACCAGAGCTCCCTCAGTGACTGTTAGAAAATGTCATTCACTCCTAACAGGAATACAACCATTAAAAAAGATTAGATGACAGTTTATCAGTCTCAAAATACACCATTCCATGAACAACAAAAACTACCCATACAAAATTAAGAACAGTATTCCTTAATCTCCCATTTTGTGTGCTTCTATTAAGGTCCACGAGTTCCTGGGTGATGCAAAAGATCAATGATGCCGGGCTACAAAATGGAAAGGTTGGAATTTCAAGTCCACCCAGTGACACCTCTGAAGAACACACTGGTGGTCAACTTGTGAAAAAATGGCCATAAATACCCATGGAGCACAGCACTACTCTGATACACACAGGGTTGCCATGAGCGCACACACACACACACACACACACACACGGCAAGACCAGAACTCTGGAAGGTACAGAAGACCTGGTAAAACACTGGCAACAATAAGAAAACAAAGATTCTCCCCACTGGGTGAACTGGCAGCAATATGGTAGAGAAAAGACTGAGGTTATTAACAGTTTCATCTTGATCCACAATCATGTCATTAGCAGTCAGGAAATCAAAAAACAATTTGTTTTACTAAAGTCTGCTATCAGGGAATTAATTCTCCAGAGTGCTAAGGATCAATGATGTCAGTCTACAGACTAAGGTATGCTTGATCCAGGACATGTCAATTGCTTGCTATGTATCTGAGAGAATGGACAATGAGTAAGGATGACAGAAGACTAATCAATGCCTTAGAGTTGTGGTGCTGGAGAAAAGTGAACATACTATGGACTTCCAAGAGAACAAACAAGTATGTCGTGGAGAGGGTGAACCAGGTTGTTCCTTGGAGCCAAAGATTTGAAACTTCATCCCACATACTTCGGGCATGCTGCCAGGAGGAAGTATTAATCCTTGGAGAATGACATGATGGTTGGAATGTTAGAGGGTCAGTGCAGGAGAGGAAGACCCTGGGTGAGATGGATTGACACAGTGACTGTGGAAATGGTGGCAGGTGTGTCAGAAATGGTGAGACTGACTCAGGATAGGGCTCAGAACTACTGTTTAAAGGGTCACTATGAGTCATAGGCAACTTGATACCATACAACAAAACATAACACTGGTTGCCTCTGTGAAGGCAACTAAGGGTGATTTATTTGTCATGAAATACCAACTTTAGAGAAAAAAAGTAGTCTGTAATATTCTGTACTAAAAATATACATTCAATAAAAGGGACAATAAATGATGAGCTTTATGTTCGGGTTTGCATTAGCCTGGGGGGAGTGAGGAGTATGCTTAAGTGTGATGGAATCCAAAATTCTCACCGTTCTAAAATCAAGATTAAATTCTATGACATGATGAAGCTCTCTAAAATGTTAATTACTTTATATAATTAATAAAATGCTAACACTGGTGCAATGCACTATGAAGCCTTGCTGATGAATCACTGACATACGCCTTTATATTTTAGGATTAAAAACCTTGTGGTAAGTAGCAGAGAATACAGACTGAAGTGTGTAAACATGAACACAGAGTATGATCTCAATTTTGGACAGCAAGAGTTTAAATCAGACAGATGTGTATAACCGGAACCCCTGGGTAGTGCAAAAGAGTAAGTAAGATCTTTACTGACCATCCCATGCATTGCCAAAAGCACAGATAGGTCCTGGAGAAAGTACAGCCAAAGTGCTCCTTGGAGGCAAAGGTTATAAAGCTTAGATACCCTTCTTATTCTTAATCTTGGTTCTATAAAAGTGAATTTTATCTCTTGTAGTAAGATGAGACAAGTAAACCATTAAATGAGATAAAGTAGCAATAAACCAAAAAAAACAAATTCAGTTCTGTGAAGTTAATGCTTATCATGAATATTTATAAAATACTTTGTAGTGGCTGGTTAAGTGTAATTACTAGGGTTCTGTAATTTGTATTAATTTAACATTCAATCTGTTACTAACTTGTAGTGCAATCTGGGAAAATGATGACAGAATAAGAGATAAGTATTTAAATAGCTAGAATTTTTAAAGAGGAATAAAATTGTAGCAAATAGGGTTGCCCTGCTAGCTTGGTTGCAGAACACTGAAGAAACTGATGGACTCATTTAGGTTTTCAATTTAAATGTATGCATAATTTAATTAACTGGGGACCACTAACAAAGCAATGAGAAAAACCATACTAGGTTGTAAGTGTCAGATTAGTATGTATAGATTGTGCTAGATGTTGAAAGGGATCAATTTGGGCTAAGGGCATGAGAAAGTCTGCAGCCTAACCCAAAGCCAATGCCATTGATCAACTGTGACTCATAGTGACCTACAGAATGCTACAGAGTATAACTGCCTACAAGGCTTCTAAGGCAATACATCTCTATGGAAGCAGACTGCCACAACTTTGTCCTACTGAGTGACTGGTGCAATCTAATTGCTAACCTTTCTGTCAGCAATCAGGGCTTTCCCACTAAGGAATCAAAGGTCTTCTTGAAAACATAAGTACTT